TTGGAGGCAAAGCCTCCCGAGAATATGCTCTTGCTCAGCATGAGTCAGCGGTGTCTCGGCGTGGCTGAAGCTGGCAGTGGCTGCCAGCCACCAGTGCAACCGCTGGAGAAGGAGCCCAAAAATGTAAATGTTCGTCGCACGTTTGTGTGTCTTCCGAGAAATTCCAACTCACTGCGCGACCCGTACTTTCCTACACCTCCACATCTTCTGCCATTGATACCTGGTTCGGTGCGTGTTCTTGCATGATAAGAGGAACGCTAACACGAGTTGATGTTCGCCCTCGTTGACACAGCTCACCTCCCTGTACCCCAGACCCCAAACCTAAACCTAAACCCTGCGTCCTAAAACCCTACGCCCCGAACCCTAAAGTCCATTAACGTCACACTTAAGCCCTAAACTTCCCTAAACCTCAAAAACCCTAAACCCTAAACCCTAAACCCTAACCCGAAAAACCCAAAGCTGTAAGCCCTACACTAAACTTCCCTAAAACACTGCACCTAAATGCTGAGGCTGCTGCCCTGTCCAGGATGGACAAAGTGGAACCGAAGATGGCATGTCCTCCCACCCGGAGCGTGCGACCTCGCTTTGGCTTGGGCGGTTTAGGGCTTTGAAAAGGGCTTTAAGGGCTGCAGGGCGCTGAGGCTTTAGGATTTGAAGTTTTTCACGCTTTAGGGCTTAGGGTTGAGAGTTTGGGTTTGTTGTTAAAGCCTCTTTCCAATCCGCAGGACCACGATGCCCTCCTCATCTGAAGGCGACCATGCTCTCGCTAATGAGAGTGGTCTGGCACGTGGGGTTTCAAGGGTTTTGGACTTAAGAATCGAGGTTTGCGGCTTGCGGTTGGGTGTTCGACAACAGTGCAAGCAACAAAGCATTCCGTACACCTTGCAGGCCTGGGTAGGACATGACACCTATGCACCTGGATGGAGAGTCCAGTCCGGTTGCGCATGTCGCCCTGCGCACGGAACTGGAGCCCGGCCAGTGCACGCTGGGAACGCGACCTAATTGTGCATCACTGTACCTCGGCAAGACAAAGACAGATTCAGGACAATGCTCATTACTTTGCACAACATGTACCGAGCCCTGAGGGGTAGCACAGACTTGGCTCAAGCTAAGCAGATGCTGGCTTCAATCACTCCACATTGAATAAGGCACGTTTGACGACATTAGAAGTACGGACCACCCGATATGCTGCTGCTGAGATCGCCACACCGACAATGTGCCGCCGAGGTGGGCGGCATCGAATGCCGAGACCGTGCTATTCATTACCACCTCAGTGCTGGTGCCAGCTCACTGGCTCGTCCAGCCTCCCTTTAATCCAACTGTGGACCTGTTGACTGTGCATCGTTCTGAATTTCTACTTGGTTGTCTGCCGGCTTCGACTCAACTGAACTTTGCAGCACTCATGATGCTGTGATTCTACACCGTGTGAAGGCCCACGAGCTTGGGAAATCCCATACCCGGATGCTCACCTGATAGCCGCTAGCGATAGCTCCCTCGCAATCTTGATCTCTCACTGGGCGAAGGAAAGATTAGACTGGCGGAGACCAGGCATGGTATATCTTATGAAATCTTAATGAATCTTATTTCTTATTGTGGTACGTTCCGAGTAAGCTCTGTCTTCGCAAATCTCTGAAGAGGAAGGGCATGGCAGTGCGCAGTTGCGGAGTTGGCAGCGGCTGCAAGGTTTCCGACTTTCGGGGGGTGATGTCATCGCAGTTGTAGCATCCACAAGAAGGGCCGGAGAACGAGAATGCTGCTTGCGCTCCTGGACAGACTAATGAAAATCCAGAACGAAGCCAGCGGCATTCATGACCTTCCATGACGGTTTCATGACGCTGATATCGATCTTAGCTCCTGGCCGAGTCGAACACAGACAGGGAGCCACCCAGGTTTACCTATGCGCAGAAAGCATCACCCACAGCGCCACCGCCACGGGGGTGGACACAGCCGCCTGCAACATGACGGAGAGCGTCGTGTTGAGGTAGGCCTGGTCGTCTTGCGAGAGCCTGAGCGAAGGCGTCTTGGAGGGGACGACATGGAACGAACGGCGTTGGCTCACTTGCGTCACGATGGTCTTTAGGGATGCTTTCGGAGTTGTGTTGGTAGGGATCGTGCGCGAAGGCTCCGCCGAATGGCGACTGCAAGACGAGGTCATCACGTGCATAATTATCCTGCGAGGACGCCGGATGGGAGGCAAGGACCGGAAATATCAGTCTCACGACACTTCAAAGCCCATGGCCTTCACCACGAAGTCCCACAGACTTGAGCCTGACCTGAAAACAGGGCTGTCAAGGCTGAGAGGGCCCTTTGCAAAGTCTGTGCCAACGCGCTGTTTTGCTAGGCGCGCGACTGCTTCAGCGAGAGTCGCGAATTAACTGTATAAGAAGGATCGATGTCTAAAGCACCCAGCAGCTGGATGTCTCCTGTGGGCAACGACAGGACTCTGCGCTGGTTTGACTACCCTTGGCTGCGCTATATAAATATAAATCAAAAAAACATATAAATATATATATATATAAGTACCTTCAAAAGCCAGTGATGACATCCCCCCTGAAATCGAAGAGACCCCGGAGTCCTGTGGCATTCACCTTGGCGCTCGAGGCTTCCGCGAGGACCGTGCGCAATCACAGCAAAAGACAGCACGACCCCAGGCCATCCCGAGCACACGCCGGTGAAGGCCAAGTCACCAAAAGCCATGATGCAGCTCTGGGTAGCAGAGCACACAAACAGGCCTCGGATTCAAGACATGTCATCCCAGACTCATCTCGTCAGAGTCCTATGGCTCCAGTTCACCAAGCGCCCGCACCAGGAGAAGCATCCAGGGATAGCGCATTTTATGTGCCTGGCTGCGGCGATGTCAAGCCTATGACAAGACATGTGTCCAAGTTTGAGGACGAAAGTGACAAGCGCGGCAGCGGCGCCGCCGCACAGGGCACTGCCCTACCGCCCCCTGCTGGGTCTCACCATGCTCCCTGCTGGTGTCTCGGGCCAAAAGGCATCAGGAAAGAAGTGTCTGGCTGCCTTCAACTACTAGTACCGGATTCCGGAGGTTCACAGCGAGCCTCTAAGCCCGAAGCCCCGCGAGCCCTCCCGTCTGTGGCTTTTTGGCTCCGAATTCTGTTCACCGGCGGCCGACTGCCAAGAAGGCAACCCGGGGAGGCGCCAGGTGAGACGGAAGCCAAGCGAGAGAGGCCCAGTCACGAGCAGTAGACCAGTAAGTTGTATTTTGGGGATTAGTTTAGGACATGAAGGCATCGAGTTATAGATTCTCGGAAACTCAGGCTCCGGTCGCTGTGGCTCCCGTGGCCATCACAGCCACTCCTCAACGCATGAGTCTAGGAAGTCCACGCCAAGACCAGGCGCAGTGCAATTGCATTCTCTGGAGGAGGAGCAGCTGCGACTGACGTGTTCTCCTACATCCGGACTCCCTTTCGGGAGGGTATGATCGCCACCGGTTGAACAGCATCAGCAATAAGAACCGACTTCGACTGCTTTGCAAAAATTGGTGACTAGTCTTTGCCAGGTTCAATCGGCGGTGCTGGAGAACCCCAAAACTTCTGCCCGCGGCGGAGGCATCGAATCAACCTCGGCCAGACGAGAGGAAGATACCTCTTAGGGTTTGGGGTTAAGGGGTTTTGGGGTTTTGGGGTTTAGGGGTTCAGGGGTTTTGGGGTTTAGGGGTTTAGGGTTTAGGGTTAAGGGGTTTTGGGGTTTAGGGGTTTCGGGTTTAGGGTTAAGGGGTTTTGGGGTTTTGGGGTTTAGGGGTTTAGGGTTTAGGGCTTTGCAAAGAAGTGCTCGGAAGGTGTCACAAGCATTCCATGAAGCTGAAGGAAGCCGGGATCGTGGCAATGCAAAGCCGCAAGCGGGCACATCCTCTCCGCAATGGCAATGCAGATAGTACGATTGCCAAGTACCAGGTGACCGATACGTCAGAATCCGACAGCTCCGAGTGCGAACCTGAAAGGCCTCTCCTGGCGGATGAGCAGCTCGAAATGCTCTGAAGCAAAAGGCACCACTCCTGGGCGCAAGCAAGGCAAAATCTCCGGCCTCTTGCCTCACCCTGACCCCCTTAGGTGGCTCTTCGCCTCGGGAGCTGACTGAGAAGCCGAGGTCGCGAAAGATCTCGCGGGCTTTGCACAAGAGTGCCTCAGCGAACCCGGGAGCTGCTCCCTCCTTTGGAAGTGCTTGCGCAGCTGCGACCCAAGGTTGGCCATGCGCACACATTTCATCTAAGTCCCGGACCTTGGTGCCCACATCGCTTTGAAACCACCTGTTAGGGAATGTGGGAACTGGGACCGTGCCAGGAAGCTTGGTCGGGCGGGAATCGAAAACGTGGGGCTCAGATTCTTGCAGTTCTTAGTCCTTAGATCTTCTTCGTGGTTCAGGGTCTGGCTGCAACCGTAACTTCCAAAAAACACGCACAAGCCGCGGCTACTGGGCGCCCCCACGCCAGGGCAACGCAGCACTGCATAGGGAACTACAGTAGGTCGGCACTCCAGGGCGCGCCATACCTCAGCTCTCAGAGACACCGCCCTTCTCAGAAAGGCACAGAAAGAGAGCCCAGAGAGCCCAATACCCCTTAATTAAGGAATCTACCTTAAATCATAATATTTCGGCCCCTATAATTTAAGGGTATATATTCCTTAATTAAGGGGTATTGGGCTCTCTGAGAGGGAAGCCTGAGCCTCAGGCCACCAAAGCTCAAAGCTCAAGACCGGAGCCCTGGCAGTGAGCTTGCGGTTTGGTGTTTTAAACACCTTTTTCCATCTCGACAATCCAGCTTACGGGTTTTTGTGAGATTTAGGGATGGCTTCGGGGGTTTCGGGAATTTTGGGGTCTTGGCCCCTTTTTCGGCCACCCCCTCGCCTCGGGTGGCGGCTGCAATCTCCCAAGCGACAGTCGACAAACGCTGAGCCCCCAAATAGCAGCGCTATGGAGGTTCAAGCCTGAGCAGCCCAGACTTCGGAGGCAACAAAATCTTCAGGCTAGGCTCCCGGCGTTTAGATCGACACGTCGATCAAAGATTTTGCCGGCTCCGAAGGCCTGTCAGGGTCAAAAAACGATGTCAGATGATGTTAAGGTTTAGGGTTTGGGGCCTAGGGTTTAGGGTTTAGGGTTTAGGGATGTTAGGGATTTAGGGATGTTTGGGTTTGAGGTGATGCTCTCTGGCCTGGACCAAGCAGCGGCATTGGTCGCGTTGGAGGCATTCGTGCCATTTGTAGTATTCGCAATGTCTGTCTCAGTGGCCCTTGCTTTCGGCTGGCCCTTTCCGCCTTTCCTGGGCCATGCCAGAGGCTGCGCAGTTTGAGCTGACTTGGGAGGTTCTTACTCATGCTTACGATCTGTCAGCGGTCCTACTATGCACGTGGGCTTCTGTTCCGGGGTTCCATACAGTGCTGCTATCCAAGGCTCTTCTTTCTGCCGCGAAGGTCGATCTTCGGCACGTCCAGATCCTCCTGAGGTATGAGCCAAGATCCCATGAACCACGGAAAATCCAAAGATTAAACCTGTCCCCCAATATCTAAGGTTCGAATGTTCCCCCTCCCAGCTGTCAACTTTTTGATGCCGACGCTTCAAGCGCCAGTCCTGCTTCAAGGTCTGCAGCTCAGTCTTCAGCGTTGCGAAATCCGCAAGCAGCTTGTCCTCGGAATGAAAGCAAGGGAACCTCGAATCCCTGCTTTCCGGATTCTTGGTGCCGGGCCATGCGGTCTTGCTGCTGCTCAACAATCTGCTGTTGACCTTCATGTGGAATCGGAGAACAACAGCAAAGCCTCCAGCTGCTGCAAAGGACAGCAAGCCTTGTGCTGCTGAGGCCAGCAGGGCAATGAGATCCTGCAAAGGTTTCATGCGTAGCCCAGCAGCTCGACGCATCTTCTGCAAGCTCCCAGAGTTTCCCAGAGCCACAGAACAGCGACAACGGGCTGGTCCGTGTACATGACACCCTTCTGGTCTTCGAACTCCTTGCCACCTGAGCTCAAAAAGGTGCTGACAATGTACCGCCTGTGCACAGCGATGCAATGCACAGCAAGCCGAGACAATGAGCTTTCAGATCGGGGCGAGTTGTTCGCACAACTTGCGGCAGGACGGACTCGAGGTCGTCGGCTGAGCAGGTGGGCATGCTTTGCACAGCCCAAAGTTAAACCCGCTTCGCCCAACTCTGCCCGTCGCTGCTTCTGGCCTATGAAGCCGAACCGCATGTACTTGGACTCGCTGCCCTTCTTGAAGTAGTAGGACACGGGGCGGAGTTGCCTTTGCCCGGCTCAGTCACTCACTGAGAAGTCTTCTTGTGGAAAGCTCGGGACGAGACCGAAGCGTCCAAAGAGCCCCACCTTCCGCACTCTCCTGTTAAAAATGGCGCAGTCGAATTTTGAACTTGGGCCTTCATGCCGAAAGCTGGGCAGCCGCGCCTTGGAGCTTGGCAGCAAGCTGCCGCCAGAGACTCCCTGAGGTACGAGATCGCTCACCTCCAACAGTGCTCTGAGCCCGCAAAGGGGCCTTTTGCTTAATTCGCCCGAAAAGCCGGTCTTTTTTCGGGCCTGGCCTGCGCGGAGGTCTCGTGGACCTCTCGGAGCGTGCGCTTCAGAGGCTTCACGTCCCGCTTCAGGCGGCGGTCGGACCTGAGCGCGGAAGCGGCGAGGCAGGGTGTTTTTTTTTTCAGGTTTTTTCCATGGGCTCCTTAAGGCTTCCCTCCATGATGCTGGGCTGCAGACGTGACAGCCCCGCCCGCGCCGAGATCCCACGATCCGTGCAGCGTTCCTCCGCTGCCGTCGATGGTCAAGACCTGAGCCAGGGCGCACGCTCACATCGTTTTAGATTTTTAGAGCTTTGGCCTAGAACCCCGTCTCGAGTGTCTGACCTGAGCCCCGCCGACGTACCACTCGAGCTGGGGGGTGGCGGAGTTGTAGTAGAGGTACCTCGAGGACCCGGGAAGCTGCCTCAGCCCCTGGGCTGAGCCGGGATGCTGAGGTCTCTACGTGTTGCTTGTGAACTCAACTTTGTTGGGCACCGCGATTGCGGAAGCTGTAGAAAAGCCTCAGAAGGACGGGGACCCCAGAAAACACCCGGCGAACATCTGCCCTGTGATGAGGGTGCTGCTGCTTCCAAGCCATACAAATGATCTCGCCAACAAAGAGGATCCAATAGCCATGCAATCAGAGACCTGAGCATCGTTTCACGCCCATGCATGTTGCCGAATGCTACTAAGCTGTGCTGAATGTTGGAGGTGACGTAGCGTCAAGGCTGAGTTGTCCACAGGCATTCGTGATTCCGGTTTGCTCCTGGGCATCGCATTCACATCGGAGTGATGTTCGGCTGTTCTGAAGGGCGGGGAGTTCAATCTCAGGCGATCGTGCTCAGCTTCAGGCACGCCGGAGGAAGAAGCGGCAGGATCAGGTCAAGCAACTCGGCCAGGGGACAGACTGCTGGCCCCGTAGGGTGCTGTCTCATCTTGGCACTGGCCAATCTCAAGTCACTCAGCTGCCAGCGACTGCGCGAAGACGGCGGCAAACCCACTTTCGCGAGTGCCAGAACAAGCACAGCAGAGTCCATGCGGGCGAAGCTCCTCGGTTAGACGGAGATAAGGATCCAGAATTGCGCCTTGATTCCAGTACTTTTACTTGCCACCCATGCACCGCAGAAATGGAGTGGAACCCAGCTGGCAGTTGTAGAGAACCTCCACGGCAAGGCACAGGCCGACTGAATCACGACCACTCCTTTTCTGAGCAGCTGGCTGGCAGCATAACCGCTCCTGCAGGACCGAGCCTGTCAAAGCGAGAGCATCCCGATGAAATCCAAGGAAGCAGAAACCTGCTGCACCGACAAGTTTCGATCACTGCCTGGCCGCGCCAGATGCCGGCGCTGAGGGGCCGATGCGAGAAGGGCCTCCGATTCAAATTGGGCTCTCCTAGCCACCCCCCAGCAAACCCGAACCTTGAAGCAACAGCAACGGATCTGTGTGCGCCATCCCGAAGACCTGGCGAAGTGAAAGCTGGAAGCACTTGCGACACAACAGACGCAAAGTAACACGACGTGCTCTGAGCTTCCCGGGGAAAAACAAGAACAGGCCCTGCGCACGAGCAATGCCGAGCCGACTCAAGAAGGGCTCCTGGCAGGGGTGACTTCTGACAAGGTTATCTAATTAGGCAAACATATTACTCTATACATGTGTGTATATATATATATGCCTGGATGTGTGCGAAAGACATACAAAATACAGATTGATAGTGAGTGAATGTAGCTCCGTATTTTTTATATGTGTATGTATATGCTTGTATGTATGCTCATGTGTACATTGGTACTGATGCACATACGTGTGCATGCGGTGCTTGATTCTGTCTGCAACCCCTGAACCCAGAGAGCCCAATACCCCCTTAATTAAGGAATATACCTTAAATTATAGGGGCCTTAATATTACGATTTAAGTAAGGTATATTCCTTAATTGAGGGGTATTGGGCTCTCTGGGAAGCGGCAAAGCAGGCTGTCCTTGATGAGGAAGACAGGCCCGGTGTCGTGGATTGCGGAGCAGGCGGGGCCAAGCCCATTCCTTGGAGAAGAGGTTTTAGGGTTTAGGGTTTAGGGTTGTGAAAACTTGAGTGCTTGGGATCAGTTCGTGGCCACAAGCATCAGAGAGGGTGAGACGCAGCCTCAACTGAGAACCGGGCGTGCGATTCCTGCCAAATTCCAAAACAGACATGCTGTCGATCCAGTACTTTGCCTTATCCCTCTCGACTCCCAGCCCTGCCTAGGGTAAAGGGTGCCGAACCCAGTCGTGTGAAGCTTCGAGTTGAAGGAGAGCTGCCAGGTCGTGCTTCACCTCACCATAACCAGCTTAAATTGCCGCAGATCCCTTTTTTATGGTAACTTGAACTAAGTTCCTGCATAAAACCGTCCAGCAAACATAAGCATCTGGGAGCGTGTGTGTATATATATATATATCCACATCCCTGGGGCCCTGACCCAGGATCGGCACGGTGAAGAACTGTCCCTGCTCTGCTGATAAGGTCGGCCCCATCATGATCGTGCTGAAGCTCGAAGACGACAGGCCCAAGCAGGTAAGAGAATGCAACCTCAAGTTCGTAGCAAACTCGACATTTTTGCAAAGCGAAGGATGGCCAGAAGAGACTGAACACTCAGTGGACCTGTGACTTGCAGCCGTGGTGCGAAGGCAGTAGACCCACGTGCGAAAAGCCCATGGCCGGAAGTGCCAAGTCCATTCAGCCAGAGCTCCTCACAGCTGCAAGGCTGCAAGTGCTCTCCTATCGGACAACCTGGCTGGAAACACACAATCACGCAATCTCGGTGGCCCGGTCCTTGAGGGCAAAGAGGGGCCGGCAAACGAACTACAGATCACGGAGAAAGTGCTCCCCACCATGAAGAGCCCGTTGGCAAAGGCTGTTGACCCCGAGCGAGCAAAGCCTCGCACCTGGCAGGATAAAAGAGCCATCACTCATCATTCTTTCTTGGTCAATGCCATCCTCAAGCCCGGCTACTTTCAGAAATCTTAATGTTGTAAGCACCACTGTTGCCCATCAAAGAAGTCTGGCAAGGCACCTGACCTCAAAATAGCTCACAACAACAGAACTCTTCTTGCAGACCGGGCACAGACGGCACTGATCCAGCACTCTCGGCGCTGGATGTCGGCATCAAGGGGCCCATGCAAGTCCAGCTGCGTGGTGGCATGGAAAGGCCGGCATGAGCGAAGGCCAAGACTGAAGCAGCGCTTCCTGTTCACGTCGTGCTTCTGGCGAGCAGTGCGGAGCTGACTTTTGCGAAATCAAAGATGGACAGCTCTTCTCCAGCACGCAAACCTTGCCTAATGGAGGATGGCAAACCTGACCGCGCAAATTGCCGCACAGAAGAGGAGAAGTCTACCATGGCGTACTGCAACGAAGGCAATGCAAAATCAAGTCGCGCGGAGCTTCGGAGGAAGAATGACGGATCCAGCATGGCACTGTTTGCTGCCAGCGTCGAGCATTCAAAGCTGGTGGCTCCGGTGGCGCTTAGAGCGCTGACGGTCAAAGCACTACCGGCTGACGGTGTTAGGCCGAAGCACCCTCCGCCGAACATGAACAAACTGAGATCGGTTCACGCAAAGCCACGCAAAAAGGGAGGGGGTTCAGTGTGCGAGAAATAGAAGACTGGCGTAACAAGACCAAGCCTTGCGAGGCTCTTCAGCAAAGCCACTAAGCCTGGACTGCTCATTCTAAATACAAAAAGAGCGCTTCCCATGCACGAGAGAGACCTAGGTAGCAACAGCAAGCCCAAGTGACCATGGCCCGGCACGAACAGCGGTGAATCAAGACGTGCCACACCCACTGCCGATGCCGGAAGCTCGGCGCGCGCGTAATTCCTCAACAAGATCGTGGGTCCCAGGTGCAGAAGGTCAGACGCTAGAAGCAACAGTCCAATTCACGAGAAACTCCTGGCCAGAAGCGCTGGCCCAGGATTGGCCACAGAAACTACAAACGATGAAAGGTCGGGTCACACGAAACTTCGAAGAGGCATGGGGCTGCCCATGGTACCGAAGCCAAGGACAAGCATGAAGCTCTCTGATCGTGCGACCCCCAAGACTGGCACAAGCAGACTCGCGCAAGCAAATTGTCTCGGAGATGGAAACAGCCCAGGCCTCGCAAAACTGGAGGCAAAAACTGGCAAGCTGGCGCATGAAAAGCTGTGCAACGGAATGGGGGAGCCCGGATTTGCTGCAAGCAAGGCAAACACTGCAGAGCCCACACGCGCAAGGCTGTGCAACAACGAGGACGGTTCAGGGCTTGCACCACCCGGCGCAGACGCAGGGAAACCGAGTCATGCCCATCCAGACACAGGAACTGGCGAGTTCAGCCTTGTGTAGCTATGGAGCAGCATAGGAAAGCCCATTTCAGCGCGATACAGGACTGACACTGCAAGGTCTGACCACGCAGAGCTGTGCAAAAACAAGCTGAATCCCAGGGTTCCGACGCCCAAAACGAACGCCACGAAAGCTGCTTGAGCAGAGCTCCGAGGTGGAAGACTAGGTCCTGGATGAGCATGCGACAAGACAGGGATGGAAGCCTCCAGTCTCGCAACGCCCAGAAGAGAAACAAGAGGGTCTGCTCGGGCGAGCTGCCTTGGAGATGAGAGCGGACCGACTTCGGATGCTCTGAAAACGGAGGTCGCAGAGCCCAACCGAGCGGAGCTTTTCGACAAAGCCGAGAACTCCGAGTGGGAGCAGCTCAGAGCGGAGGCGGCCGGTGCCGAACAGGAGAAACTCCTCAGGAACAGAAGCACTCCCAGCTTAGCAGCCGCTGGAGCCAAAGTGAAAGATCCCGATCTTGCGACTCCCAAGGCTGGCGCCAACAGCGCCAAGCGAGAAGGGCATCGTGAAAATAGCGGCAAACCACATTTCGCAAATCCGAAGGCTAGCACGGCAGAGTTGGCTTAAGCAAAGCTTCGAAGAGGCGGGAGAGCCTCAAGGTTTACGTTGCAGGCAGCTGGCAGGATAAGTCCCATAAATACCTTATCCGCAACAGGCAAGGTGCTCCTTACGTCACCCCTATCTGAGACCGGCAAGATGCTTCCGAGCCGTGCGATGCCCAAGGCAAGAGCTGCGGATCCCACGCGCGCGGAGGATCGCAAGAAGAGCGACGGCTCGGGCTTGGCAGAGCTGGGTGCCGATGCAACTGAGTCAAGGTGCACAAGGCTGCGTGCAGGCGGCAGGGAGCCAAGACGACAGTACTGCATAACTGAGAGGACCTCAGTGTTTTCAAACCTGATGCTTGAACACACAGAGGGTGAAAAGTCTAATCAAACGGGGCCGTGCACCAACAGGAACAGCTCGGTGTGCGAAAAGCCCCAGGCCAGCACAGCAGAGCCCAGCTGGGCAAAGCTTTGGAGCAGCATCAACGGGCCCAGTCCGTGGCTGCCGGGAGCCAGCAACGGCGATGCCAAATGGCAGATGCCAAAGACCAGCACAGAAGGTTCGGCCTGGGCGAATCTACGCAGAGACAACAGGGAGTCTAAGGAGCTGCATCTCAGCGCGGAGACTGCGAAGCTCACTAGTGAGAAACTGCGTGGAGATAAGGACGGGCCTACACTGAAGCCGCCAAGGACGAGCGAGGAGAGGCCTAGCCGGGAGAGGCCACAAGCAGAGGTGGCCGAGGCAACCTTGGCGAGTTTCCGTGGCAACAACAGGAAGCCCGAATGAGAAAAACCGGACGCCAAAGTCGCCAGGTTCAGCCAAGCAAGGGACTGCAAAGGGAGGGGGAAGCCGAGATTAGTGCAGCTTACCACTGGGAGTTTCAACCCAAGCTCGCAATAGTTGCTCGCAGACGGCATGGGGCTGAAAGACGTGCTATCCTTCACCAACGCACCCACGCCAAAGCAGGCCACACCACGAGCCGTCGGCAGCAAGCCAAGTCGGGCGAGGCCATGTAGCAAGGAAGGCAGGCCCGGCTGTGCAAACTGAGACGCTGACACGGCGGCATCCAACTGAGCAGAACTGCGCAAAAGCACCATTGAACCCGGGAAACCGCTGCCCGAAACAGGCATGGCCAAATCAGGTCTGGCAAGACCGGATGCAAAGGCTGACAAACCCGAGCGCGAGGAGCTACGCGGTGGTAGCGAAAATCCACAGCCCGCAAATCCGAAAGCCGGCGCTACCAAGCCACATCGTGCGAAAGAACGCGCAGGCACAGGGAAGCCCAAGTGAGCAGGCTTCAGCGCAAACACCACAGAACTGAGGTGCGCGTAGGACTGCGGAAACAGAGAGGCGCCCATGGTCGAACTACCCGGCACGGATGGAGATGAGTCCGAGCATGCCAATCCTGAAGCAGACGCGGAAGATGCCAGCCTTGAGGGACGGCGCAGCGGCAACGGGGAGCCCGCACTGCTGAAGTCGAAGGCAGATACAGCTGAGGCTGCACAACTAGAACTCCTGGGCAACACAGAAGATGCCGAGTGACCGCAGGCAAGGGCAGGCACAATGCTATCCAGTATGCCGAGCCCGAAGGAAAGCACAGCAAGCTCAGGTCAGGCAGACTGTCGCAGCAGCATCGATGAGCCAACATGATGATGCATTAAGGCAGAGGCAGCCAGTTCTGAGCGAGCATAGTGCCGCAAGGGTGCTGTGGAGCCCAGGTGCACGGAACTGAGCACCGGCGCTGATGCTCCAGCGCAACTAGAGGATCTCGATGATATTGAGCTCCCTGTTGCTGCAGCATTAAGTACGCTCGAGGTGGAGCCGGGGCGAGCGATGCTGAGGACTGCGGCCGAGCTCGACAGGCACGAGGAGCTTCGAAGCGGAACTGAGAAACCCGGGTGTGCGAACTGGAAGGCAAAGGCCGCAGAGCTTGAACAGGCGGAGCTCCGGAGAAACATGAAGAACCCTGGGGATGTTGAAGACAAGGCAGGCGGAGCAGAGCCGGTCCATGCGTGGCTGCGCGGAAGAAGCGAGCTTCCTGAACCAGCTCCACTCAACGCCGGTGGTAACGACCCCAGACGCCCGACTCCGAGAACGGATGCCATAGGCCCTGCCCACGCAGAAGCCTGCAAAAAGACCAACAGCCCAAGGCGTGCAGGATTCAGTGCTGGTGGAAGGAAACCCGCGTAGGCGCAAGATCGCAGAGGCATGGTCAAGCCAGGGTGCAACATGTCTGAGGCCGGCATAGACAAGCCAGAGAAACTCACGCCAACAAACAAAGCCGAGCTTCCCAAACGGACCAAACTCCTGAGAAGCGTGAGGCTGTCAATGTGGCTGAACCCAGAGGCGAAAAGCGGGGAACCCGAGTGGCCGAGGGACTGCAACGAGGCTGAGACACCCGGATGTGCCGAGGATAAAGCGGAGACGGCCAGACCCGAACAGGCATGAGACCTTAAGGACAAGAAAGAATCAAGCAAGGATCCTCCTGGGGCAGACAAAAACGATCCAAGTCTCCCCAGGCCCGAGGCTGGCGCCGCAGGCCCTGCACGGCTGGAAACGCGCGGAGATGATGGGGATCCACAAGCTGCCATGTTTAAGGCCAATGCCGCGAGACCCAAGCAAGTAAGGCTTTGCGAAAGCAGCAAGAGGCCCAGCACCCCAAAGTTTGGAACTGACGGGAGAAAGCCCAAACGAGCCATGGAGAAGGCTGGCGACATTAATCCGACCAGGGTGAAGCTCCGAACCAACACTGCAGAGGCTTGTTCCGCGTCGCCGTAAGCCAAAAGGGCTGGACCAGGGCATACGGATCCTCTGGCTAGCAGGCAGAAGCCGGCGTGTGAAAGTTGCAGCACTAGCAACACCAGGCCTGATCTGGCGTGTGAGCGAACAAACAGCAGGGACCCCAACAAAAGCATGTCCAGAGCAAGGGGCGGCGAGCCTTGGCGACTCAGGCCACAGATGGGCACAAGGCTTCCCAAGCGAGCCGAGCTTTGAGGAGGCGTTGAGCTTCCTGGTTTCGCCATTTGCAAAGCCGATGGGCTGGCTCCGACCCGAGCAAGAGAGTGTGGCAACAGAAAGAATCCCGCGCATGTCGCGTCCGAGACAGAAGGCCTCGAGCCAAGCCGCGAGAGACCACAGGTTGATACAGCAGAGCCGGGCCTGGCAAGGCTCCTCAAAAGCACAGACGAACCTGATCGCCCGGCACCGGAGACAGAGACCGGCGATCCACAGCGACCAAAGCTCTTCAGAAGCGCTGGTGGTCCGAGGTGGCTGCTCCTCAAAACCGACACTGCTAGGTCCATGCAAACGAAGCTTTGAATCGATGAGGATGAGTCAGGGCCTCCCGTGGCCGAAACCGGCAGTAACAGGCCTGTCCTTGCGATGCCGAGAACTGAGACAGTGCTGCCCGCGTGTGCAAGGCATTGCGAGAATGTCGAGAGGCCCGAGTGGCCGAGATTCAGAGCTGGAGTCGCAAGACCTGACCAAGAGAGGGACCGCAAAGATACCGACGGTCCTGCGTGAACCATACATAAGGATGACGAGACACTGCCAGCACATGCAGAGCTTCTCAAGAGCACAAAAGGGCCGAGGGCGGCTGACCCAAGAGCCAGGAGGGTCAAACCCGATCGCGACACGCCCCAAACCGGAACGACGAATCCAAGGCATGCCATTGATCGCAGAAACATCACGCTTTCGAGTCTGCTGGCGCCAAAAGCCGATAAGCAGAAGCCGAGTCAAGCGTAGCTTTGTACAGGGAGCGAAAGTCCTGAGTTGAATGTGTTTACCAGAGACAGTGTCTCGTCGATTTGAAACGTGGCCGCACTTGAAGCACAAGAGCCTGGCCACAAGAGACCACGTGGCAACAATATCAATCCAAGCTTTACAAAACCGAAGACTAAAGCCAAGACATCCAAGCGAGCACGGCTTCGCACGAAAGCCAAAGGTCCCAGATGCACGGAATTTATGGCCGGCAGGACCAGACCCGAGCAAGCATGGCTATGCGGCAGTGATGAAAGCTCCGGCTGCAACATATCTGAGGCGAACAGCGTGAAGCCTGGTCCAGCCCGCCCACAAACAAGCACACAGGAGCCAGTGCGTGCAGAGGAGCGCAATGAAAGCGGCGGTTCCGGGTGTCCTGATTGTAGCACCGGGGGGGCGGAGCTTGCTTGCCCAAAGCTTCGTAGCAGCAGGCTGAGCCCTGAGTGTGCTGCACCGAAGACTGGGACGGGGAGTCCCATTCTGCCCAATCCAGAGACCAAAACAATCAGGCCGGGGTGGGCGAGCGATCGCAGCAATGAAGCCAGTCCAGTATGATGGGAGCGGAAGGCAGACAGCGATGCACCCAAACATGCCAAGGACTGGGGGGACAAGGAGGACTCAGGGCATGTACCTTCCAAGGCCGAAATCACTGGCTCAAGCTGAGCGAAGCTGCGCGCGAATGTTGGGAATCCCGTATGTGCATGATCCAGGATAAGCACAGTGAGGCCAAGAACAACGGATGAGAAGATAGGGACAGGCAATCCTGAGTGCATGAAGCTACGCAAGAACGCAAGGAGACCTGAGTGACAGAAAGCCAAGACAGGCACCGCCAGACTTAGGCGAGAAAAGCTCCGGAGGAACACAAGGGAGCCAAGCGTCGCTCCAGCCGAAACCAACAGCAGAAGACCCAGCCGTGTGCATCCAAAAACGAGGACCGGAGAGTCTGAGTGAGAGGCTGCCCGCGAGAACATCATGGAGCCCGAATCCGCAGACCTGAAAGCAAAAGGGGCGAAGCCCATGCACACGGAGGACCTTAGAAAAGTCGAAAGGTCTGGGCTCGTGGCACGCGAAGCCGGCATCGCGAATCCACAATGTGCATAGCTACGGGGTAAGGCTGGGAGCTCCAAATGCGAGGAGCCCAAGGCAGGTGAGGAAGCTTCGGGGCAAGACACACCGCAGACAAGCACCGAGGCCTCGAGCTGCGCGGAAGCCCTCAGCAGCGGCGGAAGGCCAAGGTGATGCTCACACGAGGCTGGCGCAAGTGATTCCAACTGGGCTGTGCTCTTCAGAGGAGTCGAGGGCCCAGGGAACAGAGGGTCCGATGCAAGAGACGAGGAGCCACTCCGGGACATGCCAGAGGCAGAGACGGAAAAGTCTGCACGGACAAGCTCCCTTGATGGCAGGGGTGGGCCGGCATGGCCGAAGTTCAATGCCAGGGGCGCAGAGCCCAGATGTCCAAAAGATCTCAACAGTATCAAGGAGCCGAGTCCTGTTGCTCTCAAGACCAAAACAGCGAAGTCTATGTGCGCAGAGCTGTGAGGAGATGAAAAGGTCTCGAGATGACTACATCCGACCGCCGACGACCCGCTACCCGAGCGCATCTTGCCCAAACATGACACAAAGCTTTCGATGCGTGCGGAGCTTCTCAGTGGCAAGAAGCTGCCCAGCCCTCCTGCTCTCGAAGCAAAGGCCGCCGGACCCAGCCGCGCAAGGGATCTCAGGGAAATGGAGCTACCGATGTGCGATGGGCCCAAGACAAGGAGACTGAAGCCAAGGCGTGAAATGGAAGAGGCTGGCACCAACAGACCCGGACGTGAAACAGCATGGAGCGATGAAAAGGCGCCTAGCTTCGCAAACTGAAGCACAGAAACGAGAGGCCCCAATTGTGCAGAGGAGCGGAGAGAAACTGAAAGGTCTGTGCTGTTGGATCCCAGGACAAGCACTGCAAAACCGGCCCTGGCCATGCTCTTTGAAAGCGGGGAGAGGCCCAAAGAACCTCTGCCCAAGGCCAAGGGTGGCAAGCCCGACCAGCTTAAACCGCACAAAGAGACAGCAAGGCCCAGCCAGGCGAAGTCTCGAGGCAAGGGCGAAAGGCCAATATGGCAGAAGCCAAAGACGAGCACCACCGAGTCAAGCCGGGAAGAGCTCCGCGAAGGCAGCAAAGGCTCGTAATGAGCACGACTCAATGCAAACACGGCAAGGTCCACCCTTGCAAGGCTCCTGGTGGACGGAATGGAAGCCGTGCTTCCGCTGTCCGAAGCCAGCAAACAGGAACCCGTCCGGGCAGTATCCCACGGCAGCGCCGCAGCTCCCGAGTGCGAAGAGCTGCGTAGAGACGGCGAGCTTCCAGGTTGCGATGCGCACAATGTAAGCAGTGCCAGCTCCACCCGGGCAAAGCTTCGAGTGAAAGGTAAGGATTCTACAGTTACTCTGTCCAGTGCAGACAGACATGGCCCGAGGCGAGCAAGTCCGACCAACAGCACGAGAAACTCTGCTCGGGAAGAGCTTTGAAGCGACGCCAACAGGCCCAAGTCTGCGGGCCTTAGTGCCAAAGCAGGCAAGCCCGGATGCGCAAGGGACCTTGGTGAGATGGAAGAGTCCGGCTTGCTGAGGCCCAGAGCGGGTACCGCTGCATCCATCCTGGAGTAGCTCCGCAGAAAAGTCGGCGATTCCAAAGTGGCGCCTGCGGGAACCAGCATAGCCGGGCCCGGGCGGGAAAGGCCGAAGGTGGAAACCACGGCATCCAGGTAGGCAAAGCTTCTCGAGGGCATCGCGGGGCCGGCGTGCGCAAATTTGGGGGCAGGCATGGAGGCTCCGAGCTTAGCAGTGCTGCGGAGAAGCAAGGGCAGCTCCAATGTGACGATACTCACGACGAACAATGAACAGAGGAAGCCTGACCACGCCGCCCCGGACATGAGCACCAGAAATCCGAGCTAAGAGAGGCTTTGCAGCAGCATCGGTGATTCCGGGTGCCCTGCGTCTGGAGTTGGCGTCAACGGCTCGGGACATGCGAAGGAGTGCAAGGGAATCGAGACACCTAGCTGAAGAATGTCCAATGCAGAAAGGAATGTGCCAAACTGAGACATGCCAAATGCTGATACAAAGGATCCAATGCGGGCGAGAGAGTGTAAGGGCAGCAGAAACCCCGGCTTCCCGCCCTGAAATACGAACAGAAGGAAGTCTGTGCAAGCAAGGCTTCTTGGTGGCGGCGATAGCTCCGGCGCCGTCATGCCCAGCACCAGAGCCAAAGGGCCCACACAGGCGAGGCTACGAAGTGGAACGGAACTTTCGACATGGCACAAGCCAGGGAGCAGAAGAAAGACGTCTGCACAGCCGAGGCTCCTGGGAGACACGAGCGACTCTGGAGTCGATGCGCCTGAGACGGGCAAGGAAAGATCAGGACAGGCGACGCCAGTCGCGGACACCGGGAGGCCCAGGTATGCCGGGGACCGCAGCGAGGGCAAAGAGCCGGCGTGGAATAAACCGGGCACTAGCGCTGCGGGGCTCGTGCGGAGGAGACTCCGCAAAGATGGCGGAACATCCGAGTGAAGCATGTCAAGGGCTGGCACTGAAGACTCGCATGCTGCTGTCCCCAAAATCGGAGCCAGAAGGCCCGCGCATGTGAAGGATTGCAAAGGAAGCGGTGGACCCGAATGAGTAAATCCAAAAGCAGGAAGCACAAGCCCTGC